TGCTGTTTGCCTCTGCACAAGTGTCGCTGCAGTACATTAGAGCAGACTCTCATAGCTTGGTGCCCTCCAAACTGGCTTATTTTCCTAGGACTAAACACGGTTATAGGAATGCTGCTTAAGGAAGTGTTTACTATATTTCAGTGATGCAATCCATAAGCGACTGTATTAAAGCTACTGCAAAACTTCACTTGCAAATTTTAACAGTTTCCACAATCCACATTTTATTTAACCCCCGTCCTTCTATTCTTACTGTGCTACCACTTGTTCTCCCTGCTTTGGCTTTAACTAACAGTTCTATTCATAGTTATTAAGAAACAATTCAAAGCACGTTTAAGTTCTGGAGATCAAGATACAGCCAGCATATAGTACCCTGCAAATTTGTAATCCACTGGGATTTAAAAGCTATTAAATGACTTAGATAAAGCAAATTCCTTCTTCTGCTGAGCTGTACAGCACATTTCAAGGTATCAGATTGCCCAGAGAAAAAAGGCAGGACCGAAGGCACCAAGCTGAATACCGTGAGGGATACAAATAAGTGCCTAGAAAGTTAGACATTTCTTTTTAGCATTTATTTACCATAGGTGGCTCTACAAATGCAAAAAAAAAAAAAAAGTCTCCTTTCCAAAGATATTATTAGAAAAGAAACTTTGCTGACATTCTTAGATGAGAGACCACAGCAGAGGGGATGCAGGCAGGAAGCCAAACAATTTGCAGTCCCACGGGTGAATGTTCTCTTAATGCACTATTAATTGTCTAGCGCTGTCACAGGTCTATTTTGGAAAAGCTAACTCTAGAAAAGGGAGTGTAGTTTATGTTCTGTGCCCACTTAGCCTTACTGTGAAAACTGCTAATAGCATATTCTCCATAGTTTAGATTCATTTATCTGTGATAGCAAAGTGATACCTGAGGGAAAAAAAAACTAAAAACAACTTACCTGATGATTTACACAGGCCACTTCATTTTACAAGACCTTGACAAGTACAATTGTAAACAAGGGGCAGAAAAAGAAGATATCCCTAATTAACTATCAACTGCAGCTAATGCCAAAAAATGATAGTCTATGCTCACTCTGTAATGCAAATATTTTTACACACGCACAGTGAAGGACATGGTGCGATGGAGAAAGTGATGTCTCTCAGAGCCAAATTGTCCTACACTCCTGAGAAAGCCCACACGTGCTTTTTGTGTGGGTAAAATGGTAACTTACTTTTGATAGTGCTTCAAAGCCAGAAAGATGCTATAATAACAAGTTTCATATGTGAATGGGATAATAGGGATAAAGATAATTTAGAAAGCAGCAGTTACCACCCTCTCCAATACCGTTACCCTCCGGTGGGCAACCAGCCAACTTACTGCACCTGCTGAAGATACAGGGTGAATTTCTAGTTTGGCACTGACAGTGAGTCCAAAACATACATCACCAAAACAGCAGCATATCTTGCATGGGGGCGTGTACAGGGGGTAGAATCATAGAATAGAATCATAGAAGGGTTAGAGTAGGACGGGATCTTAAAGATCATCTGGTTCCAACTCCCCTGCCATGAGCAGGGACATCTCCCACCAGACCAGGTTGCTCAGAGCTCCA